TTAGTATGGGCATTCAGTCCCTAAAAGGTTCACCATCACTGCTCTATGGTGTACAGTGCTTACTGTAAGCAGGGCTTAATTCCATAAAATCATCTTTACGTAAACATGACTAAAATCACTCAGAAGGATGAAAACCAACAATCACTTTGGTATGACAGAAATTGACTCAGAAATCAAGGTAAGAACTTTGAATAAAAGTGAGATTTATTTTGACATACAAGAATCTTTTCAGTAATTTCCTCTGCTTTTGCTGTCTTCGTATATTACAGGCATTAAATCAAAGCCCTTCCTTATTAATTATATGTCACTTTTATAAAACAAATAGAGTTTCCAAATTTCCATTATGAGCCATTTATATTTACATCAGCTTTGCAACTTCTTCTCACTTGTATATCTCATTATTTTGAAAGAGACAGGCAATTAAGTTGTTTGCATGTGTAAAAACTGTCAATATAAGAGAGAAATACACACTGGGGCATACAGTCCATTTTTAGATGTTAAATCACACATTCTCCCAAACATACTGAGAAATATGTTTACAATGGTTAATGACATCAGTAATATTTGGATTATGAGTGTCACATCATTCTGCATTTGTTTTGTATTCATCATACCTGTGTAAGTCATAATGAATTCAAGTGCTGGCTGTATGACTTTCTGAAATGCTTCCACTGTTCCATTATAATCTTGTTGAAACGCTAGCTGAGCATTAATTAATACACAACACTGAACTACTGAACACTGAAAATTTAGTTAGGGCATGGACAAAAACAAAGCCCCTACCTGTAAAGTGCATCATATCAATAAACAACAATTTGTGTTTCAGTAGCAAATCTCGTATAAGGGTTTTTTTCCCCACATTCTGTACACCTTTAGCTTCATGGACAAGGTCCAAGAAACTGAAGCTTAGTCCAAGCAAGACCACAACTCCTCCTGCTGTGTGGGCACTCTACACAAGTACTTACTCTTTGTTGATTAAAATTTCACTCCCACTCTGTCATTGCAACATCTTATGGATTTGCAGTTTAGAAAAGGGGTACCGGTAATTTGAATTCTCAGACAGAGCCCTTCTAATGTCTCTAACCAAACTATACATTCCAGGTTTTCACAGGGTACAGCTCTCATAGCATAGTGCTATGATTGTGTAATGTGAAAAGGTCCAAGGTTGTGAAGATGGGTGTCTCATTGATCGACTTTTATCACTAAAAGTTCAGGTTCTCTTCTACCAGTTTAGAGTGGTGTAAATCAAATAAAACACATTACAGTAGTAGTCTAAAGGGACATAACTTTGGGTGCATCTCCACTGCAAAAATAATCCAGTTTAACTGTCATTGCTGAATTCTATGGAATTCTGGGAATTGTAGTTTTTGACACATTTAGCTTTCTTTGTCAGAGAGCTCTGGTGCCACAACAAAGTACAGTCCCAAGAATTCCATAGCATTGAACCATGACAGTTAAAATGGTGTCAAACTGGATTCTATTTCTGCAGTGGAGATGCAGCCTTAGATATGTATCACCAAAGCCAAACATTAAACTGAAATTAATACTAAGTAGTAGGGAAATCACCTAGAAAGATAATAAAACTAATGCTGCATGATGGGGTGTCACCAGTCTCAGCTTCTGCCAACCTAGCAGTTCAAAAGCATGCAAATGCAAGGAGATAAATAGGTACCACTACTCAATGGGAAGGTAAACAGTGTTCTGTGCAGTCATACTGGCCACATGATCCCAGAGTAGTCTCTGACAACACTGACTCTTTGGTATAGTAACGGAGATGAGCACCGCCTCCTACGGTCGGACACAACTTGACAACCTTGTCAATGGGGAATACCTTTACCTTTATCTTTATTATAGCAATATATAATGCAAACCTTACTGTGCTTAAATGAAGCTAAAAGCAACCAAGAAAATCAAGGCAAAATAAGGCTGGTATTTAAAATAGTGAGGTCCATTTTTAAAACAGCCTTTCTCCCTGTTTCTAACTCCCTTGTCCTTACAAAGCTTTCTCTTGCACATTCTGTTCCTAAAGTACTAGCACAAGGTTAGGGGCTAACTTTAAATTTGGAAATGTAACTGAATTTGGAATGCCACAGCCAGCTCTTTTAAGCATCTCTCTCCTAGTGATCAATGGGAACTGGGATGCCTAAGCTGTCTCTGCAGAACCCCTACAGCGGGAAAGGAAAATATTTTAGAAAATGGCATACTCAAATTGAAATAATAAACTGGGTGCTTCATAGAAGTGGGACCCGAACTAAGTAAAATGGCAATTTTTTTTTTGAAAAAAAGTTTCTGTGCAAAACTGACAGGAGTCATTCTTTGTGATGTTGGAATAAAACTCTCATACTATCCCAACTCTATAGGGGAGGAAGGCTGCACAAAGTTTCTTCTTCTGTGGCTAATATTAGCCACTCTATATTTAACACAGATGTATATGCCTTTATCTGTGCAAAAGGAGGGAAGGGAGGGGGGAGGAGAGAAGGAAAGAAAGAAAGAAAGAAAGAAAGAAAGAAAGAAAGAAAGAAAGAAAGAAAGATTTATTCCTATCCATAGTTTGAGAACAGTTCAAATGTGCATGTTTTCATTGTATTCAGTGGGGCTTACTCCCACATAATTGTGCACAAGATCATAGTTATAAATGAATAATCTACCCTGTAATCCCCAAATCCACACCTTATATGCCTTTTATATGAAAACAACAAGCATGTTTTAAAAAATGTAACATTTTAAGAAAGTTTGGAACTGCAGTTTTCATGAAGCCTGACTTTAAATATTTTAACACTTTATATTTGCACTTGAAGATATAGTATGCTACTGGCCTTCATCACACAGGACTGGCCTAAAAGGTTCTGGCTTTGGAACACAGATACATCTCATCCTCTTACACAAAAACTATGGCTCAGTCTACACTCTGTTCCCATTACAGTCAGCCCTCAATATCTACGGAGGATCCATCCCCCCACGGATACCAAAATTTGCAGATGCTCAAGTCCCATTGTCCTCAATGGCACTTTGCCATCCCAGACCCCTCCGAAACCCATCTCGCTGTTCTCATGGCAGCAGGCAACAGAGGGCTGCCTCTTCTTCCTCTTCCTTTTTCCTCCTCCTCTTCCTCCTCTGCTTTCACCCTCTGCCACTTCCCCCTCCTCCTCCTCCTTCTTTCTCCTCCTCTTCCCCCCATTGCTGCTGCCACTCTTCCTCCTCTTCTTCATCCCTTCTCCTCTTCCGTCCTCCTCCTCCTCCTTTCCCCACCGCCACCTTTTCCTCCTCTTCTGCCACTCCGCCATAGGTTTGCCATCTGCAGATGCTGAAATCCATGGATAGCAAGTCCGCAGATATAGAGGACCTACTGTACATGAATCACCACTGCTAACTCCTCATTGGCATCTAAACCAATGATGGTTCTTCTACATGGTGACATATAAAAGCTGTGCAAATGGTCAGAGGATGTCACATTAATACACCCCAATGCTTTGCTTTTGCTTTAACAATGGGTTTTCCTTAACACTAATGTAGACGGGCCTCTTCTGTTCATCATCCTGGGCCACGCCAGGATGATGTGGTCTATCCATTATTTGCATATTCTCTCCTAGCTTCACCCCTACTTCTTGCTAAGAAGTACTATCAAAAGAGAGATGCCTCACATGACTCCACTTGACTAGAAATGATGCATGAGGTGTAACTGCCTGCTGAGGATTTAAAAAATGTACTTGTAGCTTTACAAACTACAGAGACCTGTTTTCCTCTTGCCTTGCTTACTGGTACGTACAGTAAGGGAAGACCAGGCTATTTTTCTAAGTTGATGGACTGTCCTAAATGACTGCCATTTTGAACTTAAAAGATCCAATACAGAAAAGACACAGTTTTAAGGGGTGGAGGAATAAAGTATATGCAAGAATGGATTTTATACTAATGACTTCAAGTAACAAAAGTACCAGAGTTCTGTATAACTGAAAATAACTGTATTCTGTATAACTGTGTTATAACATATAATATAACATAGCTTTGTATAACAGGAAGGCCAAAAGCACCACCTTCAGGCCAATCCAGAGGTGTGGCATTCAGATGACACATACCTCTGGATCAGACCAAAGCTGCCTAAAGCAACCCAAACCTGGCCACAAAAGGAGTACAAAGAAAGCACTCCTTGCTGGCAGTCCATCATGGACAGCAGTGGTGGCTACACTTGGGACTGTGGCATCTGGTCATTGTGGCCCTGAGCCAAATGAGAGTGACCAGCACTGAAGCACCCAGAGGCCACTCCAAGATGCCAATCTGCTGAACCCTTTAGTCTGTCTATGTAGAAGATTTCACCTACTGTGCTTTTAATTATTTATGCCAACAGTGTGTTGGTCAACAAGGCAACACTGGACAAAATTACATTAGGGATATAACTCTTCACTAATTTTGTTCTCAAAGGCAGCAACAAGCAATTCTAGGAATTTTGTTCCACTTCAGAAAAAAAATTTTTGCAGCTTGGAACTTATTCTGTGTATAATTCACATGTGGCTTTTTTTTTTTTTAACAAAGAAAGCAGCATTTTCTATATATAAAAAATAAGATTTTGGCACAATGTTTTCTCTGGAGCAGAAAATGCTGTAGTTGAAGATTTACAATGCACAGAATTCCTAAAAATATTTTTACACAGAATGAAGCATTTTCTGAAGAAGAAATTCACAGAATAGAAAACTATTTTTGTGTCCATAAATATTATTTTATCTGCAAAAGATGTAGTTATCTGTTCAAAATAAGTGTGAATTTTATGTATAGTTAGTCCACAAATGTGAAGATTCCTCATTAGCCCAGGATTCATCTTGTCAGGATTTCCTTTTCACTTGAGAAGAAACACTTTTTAATTTGTTGTGGTGGTGGTGCATGGAAACCCTAAGACAACTCTATCACAGGTTTTTCTTGGTAAGATGTATGGGGAGGGGGTTTTGCCTTTGCCTTCCTCTGAGTGCTAACAAAATGCAACTTGCCCAAGGTCACCCAGTGCATTTCCATGGCTGAACAGGGATTTGAACCTTGGCTTCCAGAATCATAGTCCAATGCTCAAACCACTACATCATGCTGGCTCTCAATCACATGCAGTCATTAATTTGTAATGTTAGAACACCCAAATATTTCCCTTTGCAGAACTTTTGATTGTTTGTTATTTGAAAAGATAAAACTAAAGTTTAAGTGACATCCACCAGCTAGTCTCTAGAGCAGGGGTAGGCAACCTTTCCCCTTAAGGGCCAAGGGACTTCAGCTCCCAGAATCCCAGGAGCTATTGGCCAACATGCTCTAGAGCATGGGTCAGCAAGGTTTTTTTTACCTGGGGCCGGTCACTGGTCCCCAGGTCTTCCGCTGGGCCGGGGGGGGGAATGGCGGTGCACGCGCTCACATGCGCCGACCCCTGCCGCTGACCCCTGTGCGTCACAGCCTCTATTTTGTTTGCCAAAATGGCGGCCATGACTCGTTTGCACATGCGCAGTACTCCTACGCATGCGCAAACGAATCATGGTCACCATTTTGGCAAACAAAATGGCGCTGCAGTGGCGGTGTGGGTTGGCAGCAGTGGGGGGCAGCGGCGGCAGTGGGGGTCGGCAGGGGCCAGTCGGCGGGGGTCAGCGGGCCGGGTGCAGCCTGTGGGCCGTAGGTTGCCAACCCCCACTCTAGAGAAAAAAATCAGATGAAAATTGGGTCACCACTTCTGTTCTCTTAAAGCTAAGGAGAAATACTTGCTTGTAATGGTGGTGGATTTCACACAGTGGCTAGTAAGAAATAATTCCACACAGACTGGCAAACTACAATCAGCTAAGCTCTTTCACACCAGAGTCGCTTGGTCACTGATGCCCAGCCAAGTGAGTGAGGAATATTACCAAACATCAGGAAAAAATGATCATCTATTACTACTCAGAGACAAACTGAACTCTAAAGTCTCCTTATCTTTATGTCCTGAACACTTAAAGATATGAAGTTGAAATTTGTATGTGACAGTAATTATCCTGATTTTTTTATAGTAGTTGTACACTTGGAAGCAGACAAAACCCACACCAAGAGAAATCTACACACATCACCACTAAAAATAAACCAAGTGCTACGTTTCCATGTAACCTGATGCTAAAGCAATATGACAGCTGGCATTTGTCTTTCTCAGGCAAAAGCAATGACAGAGTTTAGTCATTATGACCCAACAGATACTTTCAGTCTATTATTGGAGTATTTACTACTACTATTATGAAAAACAGAACTGAGGCCTCCAAGATGTGAATGAAGGATGTGTAACAGAAAAGATAACATTGCCAGAATTAACTTAAAAAGAAGAGTTAATACAATATAACTGAAGAGGAAAATATTTTATAAGATAAATTAAAAAGTAAAGGATATATAGCACCTTTAATGATAAACTAAATGATTGTGTTAGCCAACAGAGAAATTAATTTAGGGAGAAGTCACGTGGTCCAATGTTTTCAGTAAGAATCAGTGAAGTCCTGAACAGATGTTTCTTCTTCAAACAGATATGCTATAGAATATGGAGAAGAACAGAATAACTGTTAAGCATGAAAAAAAATCCAGATTTAATCTCTGGGGAAAAAACTGAGAAATTGGGGGAACTCCAGGTTGAAAACTTTGAGAACTGCTGCTAATCTGTCCAGAAATTAATGAACGAGATGGACCATTATTAGTCTTCTTTTCATATCCATATATCAGAGAAGATGAGAAGGATACAGAAACTCATGGACATCCAGAGGAGGTGCCAAAAGTAGCAATTCTATGACTTGAGCACCTGGAAAAGGTTGTTTCTTCATTCCTTTCAATCTTCTCATCAGCAAAGCCCAAACCTATATCTATTTAAGGCACCCACTGAGTTAAACAGCAGTTAAACAGCAGAAGGAGATCCTCACCCTTCACGATTATCATGCTGACTGAATATCAAAGCAGTTTTTTGTCTAGCCTACCTTACTTTTACATTAATGGTGACTATTCATAAGTCACTAATTGTGAATATTTATGTAACTATGAGAGCCAGCATGGTGTAGTGGTTTGAGCACTGAACTATGACGCTGGAGCCCAGGTCTCAAATGCCTGCTCCTTGGGCAAGTCACAGTCTCTCGGCCTCAGAGGATGGCAATAGCAAACTCTCTCTTTAGGAACCTGTCAAGAAACCCTGTGATAGATTAGTCTTATGGTCACCATAAGTCAGAAACCTCTTGAAGGCACATAATAACAAACAAGTTGATATATTATTACTAAATGACAGATGAATAAATTTACAGAACTGTAAATCACAATATTATGACTAAATGACATAAATAACTAAATTCTGGATTTGGAATTGCAATATAATGAATGAGAGAAAATGTTCATTCATTACTACACTGAGGTATCAGTTTATGTTGCAAATATCATCCTCTGGAACTGGATGCTTATGGGGACACATATAATAGGCTAGGTAACACAATTGTCATTGGGAGAAAAGTGATGAGCAACTATATATTTTTCCTTCAAATGGATTTCTTTAACATCACAAGAGATAATAAAAGGGGGGAAACATGCAAATTTGGCTTATAACTTGCAATTTTCATATGAAATTACATGTCTAGTGTATGGAAGGGCATATGTCTTCTACCATGTCTTTGACCATACGAAGTGGAGCACCAGCCCAAGAAAGCATGTAAGCAAGAGCAGCATAGAGTTTGCCTGGTAAATGTTATAGCATAAAAAAATGGAGCAACATCCAGACCTATCTGCTACTTCCTCCACAAAACTGTAAGAGCAAAGAGCTTTAAAAAAAAACACTGTTAATATTTTTGGACAATGTTATATCAAAACCATTAGCATGGTTCAAAGGGGTCTGTACTAAAAAGGCAGCACAAAAATACTACTCCAATACAAAGGGAAAACACTTTGCCTCACAGTAGAACCAGTCCAGGCCCCAGTAGGTTGACCTTGGCAGGGCAACAATAGTGAGCCAATTCAACACTCATACGACTAGCACTGAGCAGTTGGCTCAGAACTGTCATTATTTCCCATCATGTCCCAGGCATGAGACTACACATAAGGCACTATGGGAAATTAATATGGTACACTTAAACCCAGATAATTGATGTATTAGGAATAACATTGCCAGTTTGGAGAGGGCTCTTGTATCTTTAACAGCTATGTAGAAGATGGAATCTCAGTTGCTTGTTGCGTTCTTGGGTGACAACAACACCTGCTCAAATTCTCTTCTACACAACCATTACAGGTACAAGAACCCACTTTAGTTTTCACTCTAGTGGGGATGGGGCACGCCAGAGCACTGGGGAGCAGCTACCCAAAGATACTACATGTTGATACCAGGCCTGAACATGGGAAACTCCTTTTCCCTACTCATTTTCTATTGCTAGGATAGTGCAGGCAGTTGTGGTTAGAAACCACACACATACTGGTGCCCTTTCCATCATGGAAAAAATATGGAAATTCTACAGGAAACTTTATTAGTTTTTAGTGTCTGTTCTGTTGACTACAGAGATCCAAAAATACAAAATACACCATAAAAATCACAGTATATATATATAAAAACAGTTAATTGCCAGTGTTAGTACATATAAATCTAATTTTAAAGAATAATGGAAGGACAGAATTACAGAATGCATGTTGAAGTGATTGAGGAAAAATATCAATGCTCATTTACTTAAAACCATTTAATCAGAGCAAAATTATGACTAGAGTGAAGCAATAAAAAGTTTTCAGTTAATTAGGATCTCATCTTGTATAAAATCTCTTTATCCAACAAGGCAGTTAGTTTTATAACCTGAATAATTTATTTTTGTTAATGGCTGGAAGATTTGCAGATACTTTCCTTTTTATCCTATTTCAGAGCAAGTTAGCATGTTTTTCTGCTTTAGAAAAGCATACTGATGCTACTCAAATTCTGCTCTCAGGAGAGTTGAACTCTAGACTCACCTATATACAATAAACTAAGATCAGCAATTCATATTTTGACTCCTACAGGAAACTAGGAGCCTAAGTACCCTAGTATTTAGGGATGGCACCAAATCCCATCTTATCTTGGAAGCTAAGCATGGTCCCCTGATTAATTCTTGGATTAGAGACTGCCAATGAACACCAGGTGATGCAGGTTGTATTTCAGAGGAAGGAACTATCAAAATCGCCTCTGAGTATTCCTTGTCTAAGAAAGTCCTATAAAATTCATGGGGTCACCACAAGTTGACAAATAACTTGAAGGCATATGTGCACACACACATACACACAGACAAGAAAAATGGCCATACCTACAAGAAAGACTTCATAAAGGGATGCCATAAAAGGTAAATAACACTTGTCTTCAGAACTTGGGCATTTGTGTCTGAAAAACCTGACCCAACCAGGCTTGTGTCTGAAGTGAACAATGGAATCACTAGTGTTGACATCACACAGTATGGTAACTCATGGTGTCACCGCCCTTTGGCCTCCTCTCATATCAAATTATACAGAATCCTTAGTAATGTCCTTTGTATTACTCATAAATTGTAACTCCTGTACATCAATGAATATAATGGCATTAGTTGTGATATAAGCAAATTTAAAATTATACCTTAAAATTACAATAGCATAGACACAGCCTAAATGTATTTACATGTACATCATTTCATGTGGTTAAAGTAAAAACTTGGTGAGATGTGATGTTTTTAAAGAAAAATTCAAAAGACTAATGGGGGGAGGAGGCTGAGGCCTCTCCTTTCTCATCCCACTTACACTATCTCTTCCACTGAGTTCCAGCATTTTAAAGGGATGCAGGCAAATGCCACATCCCATTTAGGCCAAAAGGCAGATGTCTAGGGAGCAGTGATGGCATCTCCCATTAAGAGTATCACCTGGTGTGGCCCACATCCCGTGATGACCCTGGAAATGAAAGCACAAACTCCACTTTTCCCACACTGGAGTCCAAAGCAATGAGGTACAAAATCTGAAACTATCCAGAATATTTTTAAAGAATCCACATTTTGTGGTAGAATCCAGTTTGTAGGAAAACCAGAAGTCATGACAAGAGCAGGAATGTGTCATGGACAGCTGTGGGGGAAAGAGTAGAAACAAGGTTTGAATG